TATTAATTGAAAGTCATAAAAATTAGATAGTTATGCTAGAAGAGTTGTAATATTAAATGATATATATTCTTTCAAAATTATTATTAAATTTATAACGCTTAAGAGAATTCATTACTGGCTGATAAAATCGATACAAAACTGTGCCATTTACGTCAGTTAATATTAATTAACCAATTACCGGCTCTTCGTTAAGGATAATTCAATGCAATGTGGTGGAGACGTGCGACAGATGGGAAAGTAAATAATGAGGTTCTCTGTAATGAAACCTTTGTAGCAAAAGGAGCTACAGCAATTTTTCAGACTTGTCTCATAGTTGTCTCATATTCCTTCTGTGTGAAAAGTGGAGGCAACACTCAAGATGAAGATGTATCAAGTTGGAGGCATTTTTATTATTGAAAAAAAAATAATACTAAACAAAATGTTAGATTTGAACTTATAAATATAATAGTACAATTGATAGCCCATAATATAATCCACAATTGAAAATTTATAATAAGATAAGATGAAACAATTTCAAATATATGATATAATCTGAAAGAAGTAAGATTTAAATCCAATTTTTGAAGTTCAAGTTTGATTTTTTTCTGTTTAATATTTTTCAGCAACTTCTACACAAGAGAGGATTACAGATTTAAACCTCCATTGACTTGAAATTCGATTTAAATTTTATTTTGTTTAGAATTGTATCATGTTCTAAATTGTATCACCTTACCCTAGGTGATGTTATTATATAATGTAATGTATTACATTGTGTATATTATGCTATTGTAACACAATATTGTAACATATTATATTATTTTTATGAAAAGAATTAATAAAGTTAAAAAATAACATCAAGTAATATTTATTAGTAGACATGAAAAGATGTACTGAAAATTTTTTGAAATTTCACAAAAAAATTGACAGTACTATTTGAAATAACATAAATCTCGATATGGTGATTTCTTAAACTTATAGAGCTAATGTTCCAGTTACTTCACACAGTTCGGAACTATCAAGAGAATGTAATTAAGCGGAGAATGTGGATTATGTCACGCGTATTAAACTCAAGGCACTCGAAATACCTACCATGAGAATGCTTAACGATGCGCATATCTTATTAAAATATTTACTCGATTTAAATGTGTGTGCTATTATATTTTATTTATAATCGTAATATTTTAATAAATCTTTAATAAATAGTTTAGAGAATTGCATTATTCCATTACATCGTGGTTGTATAGATGTATAATACTTACTTAATGTCCTAAATTTAATAAATTAACTTGTCAAGTTAATAAATTATATTTATATAACCTAAATTTGTTGGAAACAGTGCGAAGCTATTTTTAAAGCAGAATATTAAACGTTATGCAGTATTAAAGTATTTTAAGCATATTTTAAAATAATAACTTAAGTTGAATATTTAAACTCTGCGCAAATATAATTTTCCTTGCGGAGCTTATTCTAAATATAACGTAAACATCATTTAATGAAATTTTGTAATTTCATTAATTTTGTAATAATTAAATTACTTTAATAAGTATATCATACTTTTTAACAAAGAAATATTTGTCAAACTAATTTGTCTAAATTTTCTCTGAACATTATGAAAATTATGAAAGTTATGAAAGCATATGACTTAATTTCTTTAATACATAATGTACCATAGACAATGGTTTTTTTAATCTTTCTTAAATTGTAATATTGAACTTTTTGAATACTCTTTTTATTGTACTATTATATAACAAGCTGAAATTTAATAATAGAAATATAAAAATAAAGATAAAATAGATAAAACAAATAATTTTTATTTGATCTTAATCTTGTTTTTTTTTTAGTATAGCCATACAGAATATTTTTAAATTTATTTATAATTGAATTAATTAAATGTCATAACTGACTATTAAATATTAAATAGCATAATGATTCTACTTCATTTATTAGACCATGAAGAATAAATTTATAGCATAATATTACATCATTAAATGCCTTAGGAATCGAATTTGCAATGAAAATAGAGCTTATTAAGAATATTCCTTTTTAATATAAATCTTATTAAGAATATTTCTTTTTAATATAGTTCCAGTATGTGTTTCTTACAATACATTTGCGTTTAATGTTGTTTTCTTTTTTATCCTTATTTGTCGTCTTAATAAATGCTTCTTAATTATATATTCAATTATTTAATTTTATATAAATATTTTATTCCCGTAATTATTTATTTACTATTCTATTTAATTATTCTTACGGGAATACGTAATCTTTTTTTTGCACATAATAATGCTTGTTATTGAAACCTGATTTTCATGTCACTTATTTTTATTATTTTAATTAGCTGTTCTAATTTTTCTTTTCTATCTTTTCATATATATTGTAATATCTGTATCATTTTGTGGTCCCGTTTCAGGACCTTTTACCAATTATTTCGCTCAGTGCCGAGCGTTTGATTACACGACATAGCTGGAAGGAACGATGTTTAATTTCTTCGTCTCTGTATAAATGGCACTATAGGAAACATTAAGGATACGCGAACAGAATGCTGGTGAGCGCAAACACATGTACACACACATAGAATACTCATACACATAAGCGTGAACAAACGAAGGGGCCGTTAGTGACAGTGGCTTTGTAAAACCACCTCCTAGCTTTCAGTTTTACAATACTCGCCACCTCCCTTTTTGTATTCCCCGGTAAAACGATGCGCACGGTTATGTTTAAGCGGAAAGAGGCCGCGCTTTTCAATAAGCGAACTGCCGCTGCGTCTCGCCGTGAGAACGGCACAATTAGTTATTACCGTGATCCACAAACTGGCGTTATTATCTTAAAAGCTGCTACTTCGTACAACGGCCGGAAGTTTTCTCGGGGGAAAATGCTTCCGCGGAAAATTGAAATATTAGCGGTCCCATAAATCGCGCCTCGTAAATTCCGCTGCTTTCTTATACGAAAAATTGCACATTAGTCATTAATAAGTCAGCGTAATGCACTGTGTTGTGAAAAATTTCGCATTATTTCTCGTCGGGAGAAAACGGATACAGGCAATATTGATTGTATTTATCATCCAAAAGAAAGAAACAAGTCATGTCGTTTGGTTCATCTGATCTTGATTTTTGGATTTTTCGAAATAGACATACGCTTATACATAGTACTTTTATGCAGTATATATGTACAAAAATAAAACGTTATAAAATATCAATCTGATCCAAATCTTATCTGAAAATAAACACTTGTTATAATAAAAAAAAAAGTAGAACATAATAAAGCATAAGTAGCAGCTGTGCTGAAAGAGAATATGAAATGTATTTTGTGAAGAAACAGTTGGAAAATAATTTCCATAATTCACAGAAAGTATTGGAGATCTTATTCCTTACAGAAATATATACAACTCAATTTACTATTTAAAGACAGTAATTTAGGTAATGTTAGTATTGTTTTAGTGCTTTAATTTATTCTACAAGAAATAATTAATTACTGCCTTTCAGTAAAATAAATTAACCAGTATTAGATTTATGTAAAGGATTGACCTGATTTTGAATCGGGTATACATAAAATAAATTATCCTATAAATTTTAATATCCCTAAAATTTTTTTTTTGGTATATAAACATTTATATTTTCTTTTATAATTATATTATGTACAAAAATAATAATTACACGCTTGTAATCATTTAGATTATGTAAGAATCAAAAAAATTCGATCTGTAAATATTTTTAGGATAGGATACCTTAAATAACACACAAATATAGAGTTTATGATAGAGTTTTACTTGTTTCTTATATTTAATAGGTATATAACGATTACAATCTAAGACTCTGCGTATAAATAGTATCCGCACAGGATCTCTTTCAATGTGTTCGTACACAATTAGCGCCATGCTTTTAATGTACCTTTAGTGCCAGCTTTGAGAGCTCATATACATCGATCGATTTGATAATGTCGGGTGTGCCATCGCTATTATCAACGGTAATATCGTTAAAGTAACACACTGATCAAACGTTCTCATATCGGAAGGTATCTACATATTGCTACTGATTCCGAGTTCCGTAATTGCAGCCTGAATATGCACGTCGAGAGATTCGCTCGCATTGACACTGCTATGCTGATACCCATTCAGGAAGTAACATGTGCCCGATACACTGGCTGGCATTCCCTTGGGTAGATTGTCCTTGGTCCGCGGTTCCAATATGAATCCCGATTTTTGTATTAAGCACCTGTAAATACATTTGCATACCGTGAATGATGAGTGTATGCGTATCGCTTCCTTACTTTAAAAGTGATACATAACATAAAAAATAGTGGGTTTTAAATTATTACCATATAAATAAGTTACTAGAAGTACTAAGCAGAAATTATTGAACAGAATGTTTTAATTTGTTTAGATTAATATAATATAAATGTTTTAATGTTATAATGTTTTAATTTTTTTGGATTAATATTCGTTATATTCTTTGTGTAAAAAATAAATTAAAAAAAATTTTTTTACTTAATAATAATTATGTCCACTGATAAAATATTTGATTTCTCATCACTTTTCTTTTTTATAGTAATAATTTATACGTTGTTTGTTCAAAATATTAGTATTTCTAATATTAAGCAAACATTATCCTGTCAATCAATAAAATTATTAATGATTGAACCATTTCAAGAATATATATTTTTTTTTGTCATGTTAGAGAGAGATTACACTGTTAAATCTAATACTAAATTTAACCTAATGTGAATCATCATTATTCCTACTAAATATATTGTTATATATAATTAAATTTGATACTACATCATGTTAATTTGATATTATATAATGTCAAATTAACACTGTATAGTGTCATAACTATTGTTTTAGTATAAAATAATGATATTATTAAATAGGAGCAGTGGCGATTCACATTAGGTTAAATTTAACATTATAGATTCAATAGTCAATAATTTTTTGTTAAGTTGAAAAATAATTTTCCCCTTTTCTGGGAAGAGTTTTCCTATACAACACAGACATCCAAGATATGTCCTAAAGACATTCAGAAAATATCTCTAAGTCCTCTGATCGTCCTAAGGATGTTCCCGCATCTGTCGGATAAAGTGTGCTGTATGTGTAATTTTTTGAATTGTGTCACTTTTGAAGTAAAGAAGTGATATATGTTATATAAGAAGAGAGGTATTTTGTCAAAATACATACAGGTACGTAGTTGGACTGACGTTGACACGAAGTGGTTCGCTTGTGGATTCAAATTTATTCGCCAACGTGACGTTATGTCCAAAAAGACAGTATCTTGGCATTTTCTTACCAACGACTCCTGCCAACACCATCCCGGTGTGAATGCCGATGCGCATCTGATAGAATAAATAAGTAAGGCAATCTAGTGAGTCGACAACAGCTCAGTACGCTGTATATTGACGAATATAAAAAAGTTAGATGACAATCAGAAGAAAACATGAATGAGAAAAAGAAACATAACTTGCTTTAAATGTTAATGTAGTCGTAGACCGCGTTTTCTCATATTTTCAAACCGGCCGCTTGTTGTCTTAAGAAATACTTTAAATGGAAAAAGTTTTAATAGCATTCAAGGAGAGAATAATAAACAACAAAGTGCTATGTAATAATCAGAAATAGGTATTTCTCAATTGAAAAACTTTGAAAGAAATACGAAAATGTTTCCTGAAAAAAAGGGAGAGATTCGAAATTTGAGAGTTGAGAATTGAAAAATTGTTCCAATTATTTTTAGGTATGAATCAATAAAAAAATTCATTCATACAATTAAAAATTATATTTTTTAAAATTGATAAATTTTGTAAAAAAATATATTTGTGATGTTATTAATATAGCGACAAATATTACTTGTTATACGCGTAAAATATTATATTTACAAAATCAGATTTTTAAAAATATTTCATATTCTCTGTATTTTAAAACATGGAACGTAACAGTATATAACGTTTAATATAATATTTCCATTCCACTGTGCACTGTTAACGTTTATATTTTATCGTGATGTATCTTCTCGCTCAGTGTAATGGAAGTAGAAACGCTGGTTGTAATGTACCAAATTGCATAAAATCATAAAACTGCAAATGTTTACTATGCTATTACTGTCGACATTGTATTGAAAGAAAATTGCATTGCATGTAATCACAATCTTATCTATAGTCGTGTAATCATCAATATAATACCTTTATTGGCTTGCCTTCGTGAGTCAGGTGATGAGAGCACGTTTGTATCATCTTTAGGCCCATCCAAGCAATTTGTTGTGCATGTGTATTGGTATTTCGATGAAGGCCACATGCAACGCAGTAGGCATCGCCGATTGTCTCTACCTGTTTATACAAGGAGAAAAGTAAAATCAATGCAATTTCCATTTACGTTCGCACATAATAGCTGCTTTTATAGATCATGTTTGATATAATTAGAATTCTTCGATCAATTTAAATGAAAAAATATATTTTTCTACTCTATCGGTATTATATTATTTCTTGCTATTGTGGAAAAACAAAAGCCAACCATGATAAGATATTATTCAAGAGTTATATCCAGTTCTTTCGATGTCTGACAGATGGCAGCATCATACATTTTAGCAACTCGAGCTAGACTACACAAAATGATCGGTATTTGTAAAATACGGATTGACAAATAAAAGTACATTGTTAAAAAATACTTATCTTTTGCATGACAAATTAATAATTATTTTTTTAATACGTCGAAAAATATTTAAATACAATTTATCTTTCAATTCTTATCAATTTAAAGTTTCAAAAAGCGAAAGACGGAGCTTTTTGAAACTTTACTTTAGCTTTACTTGATTAATATAATTTGCAAATTAATAATTACATACTAAATATATATCATATACTAAAAATATATCAGTTCATGTGATTTTTATGTGTAAAAACATTATTCCCAAGCGACTTAACATACCTTATACACATCCAACTGACCACAGTAAAGATCAAATTGCTCGTATAAATTTTGAAGCATGTTGATGACCATCATCGGCGTTGTTGTAGCACAAATGGACGTAAATCCGACTATGTCGCTAAACAGCATCGTGACGTCTGGATACGTTTTCGCCTCGATTGTCTCTCCTAAATTTAAATACCAATATTTAATCAATAAATTCTCACAAAATATATTCAAATTGCTAATTTAATAGTTATAAACAATACGAATTAATGCAAGTCTTGGTATTTATCTGTAATATTTATATGTGAATATATTATACAAATATTATACAAAAACAAATTCCAATATTCCAATAAACGCCAAATCGCACATAATCGTACCTGTTGTAATTTCACCCTCAACAATATAACTGTAATATAACACGTATATTATATTGCAATTAAATTATCGAATGGAAAATTACAACTAACGTGAACTTTATATGTAACTTGGTTTGCTAAAATCAGTTCTGTAGATGAAGGTAATACTTATAGTTTTTACAATTAATTATTTTTATTATTTAATTATTTCCATTTTTGTATGATCTTATACTATTTTGGAAAATAAAGAATCTTAAAAAAAAAAAAACAAAAATATTGCTGCATTTTAGAATCGAACAAAGATGTTGTAATTTACCTAGCCACAGACGTTTCGCAATATCTGGAGGAAATATAAGATGTAGGAGACTGACATTCTTTTCTCTTTCCGCATCGACTGCCAGGTTAGCTTCTTCTATAGAACTTTTCAATTTATCCATACGTCTCCTTAAGCCATCCTGAAAGAGGATTACGCCATTATATTTTATGCGGATACGATACGGAACATCGATCCGTTTCAATTATATTAAATACAATGAATTGTATATTATTCTATCGCAATGAAACAATAACAACCATTGACGACATAAAATAAATATGACTCAAGTTTTATTAAATAATACGGATGCTCGACTTGTGGTCACATGAAACCGACCGTGAATTTATTTACCTGTGCCCTAGCTTGTTCGCCAACAAGTATAACGTCCCTTGTAGCGTCGTGAAGAGGGATATCAGAAATGAAGAGTCCTCGACCCGTTAAGCCCTCCAAACCGTTTAAAAACGGTGAACTTACGAATAAAATTGAGTCTGATTCCGGACAGTGTACCATTTGACCCTTCATTTCCAAACCCTGTATCAAAACAGAGTTATTTCTTTTTAATCAATCTTATTAGATTACACGTACGTATTCGAACAAAATTGATAATCCACTTTGCAAGAGTCGTGAAATTAAACGATTTTCTTGCATAATCTGCTTTTATTTACATCGAGTTTACAGCGATTTACGATCGAATAGTATAACGATCGAATTCGCAAGTAAGCAGATCATCTTATCTTACGTTAGCAATCATGTTGTGAGCATACCTCCGCGGGATATTTATCGACGTCGTGCGGTCTCTGGAGGGTCAAGATAAACGGTGTATTCGCGCGTTTTAGGATCTCGTGAAAGGTCAGAGTGACGCCGTGGGGTCGTGTGAAGACGAAATACGTCGATATCCCCCTGCCGAGCCAGTTCAAATGGTGTCCAAAAATCTTCATGAAGCCGACTCCAAGTTGCACGAGCTCCAACTGACGATCGACGACGAAGTGCCATGGGAACGCTTTGCAAAAGCTCGCTACCCCCATACGAAGGTCCGTTGCTGCGGTGGAGAGTGGACGGAAAGTGGATGACACTACGTCGCAGTCGTCGTCTACGCCCAGCTGTTCGCTGTAACGCTCTGGAGTAATCCGATATCTGCAATATTCGAGGTATAAGTTGCAGGTGTCATCCTTTCACGTAGAAGAAATATCTATTCAATAAGGGATCGATCGCACTTTTTCCGCATACATCAAAAGCAATATGCGCGTTAGGAGTGTCGTTTCAACGAAGAACATTTCGTATATAAATACCAGGATTGAGCTTATACTCAACTTCTGCACTTATATGTGCAGATATGTGTGGAGTAGAAAAGTCAACACTTGTTATGATGATTTAAAACAATCAGAGGCAATTACCACCTTTCCTGATGCTACATCGCGCAGATAAATGTAACCAGCACAGTGGAACGTTTAATTAAACTTGGAAATGTAAGCGATGTGCGGTGACAATGTTTTGCACGTCATTTACATGTTCGCGAGTTGATCTCATCCTTTCGAGAATTAACGTGAGACTCGGCAGTACCGCACCTATCATCAAATATTTGCCACTGACGAGAATCAATATTTGTTCAAACGAAAGGTTTGTACTCTCACGTGCCCTGCCTTTGCCTATCTGCACGAATTACATTCTATTCACGTGACATTATTTCACTCCACGCGATTTGGTGAGCAAACATAATACAACATACATAGAACGATATAAATAACATTTGATAAAACATTCGATATGTAATAACATTCGATAGAAAGATTCATATCTGTTTTCTTTTCTTTTCGGTTCACCACAATTTTGTAGTAACCGATGTGAATGAATACATTTTATGATTGAGTCGAAATGGAAATTCTACATAAACACGAATTATTTGCGCAAATGATGAATGATATACAAATAAATGCGTATAAATTATTTGCGTAAGGAATAATATTTGCGATGTTACGAAAGTCACTCGACAGCTGTTATTAGAGTTTATGTCACAGCGTATTCATCAACTCTGAAATTTCATCATATGTCTGCTCTGCACCATTTATATTCATTTTATACAAAGATCTAATCACAGCTGTTGAATTGAAACATTTTGGCGAATATTGAAAAGGCCATAATTATGTTGTGCAATTGATGTTGTGCTACCAATTTTTGCCATATTTCTCCAAATCGTATTTCCAGTGCTTGTGTCGCTTTGATTTCATATTTTTCGTTTCCCTCTCTCTTTCTTGCTCTGTTTTTACGAGTAGTCATCGAATCCGAATTGAATTGTCGCTTTAAAGCGAGGACCTTTGTATTCTTTGCCGTGGAAAATTCGCTCGCGCGTGACGTTTGATAACAACTTTTGCATTCTTCACTGAACACAAAAGATAGTTTAGAAAATTTCCTACATTTTTACGTTTTGATAGCATCCTTATCTAACAATAAGCTTATCGGTTTCAAAATTCAGACTGAAAAGAAACGGAAATTAAAACTTGTGGATGAGACTTAAGATCCTCGACGAAACAAGATAATACATAAGGGAAAAAGATCGAGTTTGTCGGTCGATAAAATGAGGTGTAGTGTAATATAATGTAGTAATGTAATAATGTAGTAATGTAATATAATATAATGTAGTGTAATATAATAATCATAAAAAGATTTACCTAAAAAATTTTGTGTTGTAAGGATCCGGCAGTATATACACGTCGGCTTTGTCGCTATAAAACTGCCTGGCTATGCCCTTCAAACTGCCCACCAGGAGATAGGCGATGGAAGGATGATCGGTGGTGAAGTGTAGCTCCAACGCTTCCGGTGTGGCGATACACACAAACTCCGCCTCGGTATCCGATCCCGACTGATGCTGGACAACATCGTTTACGCCGTCCAGTGTGGTTAAGAAAGCGGTCAGATCGTTCCCAAGGCAACGAAAGGCTCGCTCTAAGAGACCCACGCAAGCCCATGCGATCAGCTCCTGTCCGAGATGATCGAAAAACGCGTTCACGTCGACGTCTGCAAAAGTTCCGTAAACATGAATTCGCCTTGAGGGAATTTCATCGAGTCACTCAAGAACCGTTTATTTCTTTCTTGGTGATATTCAGAGAACTAAGTTTTGTAAACTGTACATAGAGTATACAATGGCACGTCGTCTTAAAGTATATAAAGCAAAATCCTTACACAAAAAGTAGCTTTACTGTTAGATACTTTATTTAAATAAAACTCTCTATATATATTTATCTTGAGGCAGTAATATGTATCTCTTAAGGGTTTTTTTTTATTTTTTGCGGAATTATAGACGATTTATCTTCTTTATACTTTTCTGATTGAAAATCTCTATGAATGTTTAACATGATCGAATACTAAAATCAGTGCATTTGAGAATTGCAAGCGAATCTCGCGGGATCGATAATACATGCCGCGTTTCAACTCTGTTAAGCCTGGTATGTTCGGGTCCCTTGCAAATCCGGAAATAGATGCGGTGAGCAAGGGCTGTTTTAACGATCCCGTAGATATTATTTTACATCAAATGTCGTTACGAAAACATGATAATTATAATAATGTTCCGTGTGATGTGATATACTCCTGATTAATTATTCGGATTATATTGCGTGGTTTTTATATTTTTATGATATTCTGCCATATCATGCAATGAAATTTGCTCGATATTTATTGATACTCTTTTTTTAAATAAATTTTTGGTGAATATTTATATATTTTGATACCTTTCTTTTAGCTATCTGATTTTGGTGAATAAGCGTCGATCTAATAATCCTCAAAGTTTACGGTAATCGCGTCATTAGCCGCTAAATATAATAAATCATATGATAAAATATTGCAAATGCCTGATCGCGATCAATGATATAGGATAATATGTTGCCCGGAAATGGAAATATTATCTGTGATTTATGTGTATATTTACGCTGCGATTAACCCGGAAGCGCGGCGAAGAAATTTTCGGTTAGAATTTTCTAGGTCACGGCGATATGCGAGGGAAATAAGCGACAGCCTGTCTACGTTATTCCCGTATGAATTCGCTGAATGCTTTCTTTTTCTTTATGATATCATAAATTCTGGCAGTAAACAGTTTTACTGTTCGATGTTGCGAAATGTCAGACGTATAGTTTGTCTCGTATAGACTCTTCGTAAGTCAATCTTACAAATGGCCTAATGTACTGTATATCTTTGGTGACAGCGGGGGTCTTAGAGTTTCTCTCGAGATTGCATTACGTTGGTACGAGAAGTATCTTCTATGCTCCGGTAACCACAGCAACACCACTTCCTGTCGCGTATACGAAATGCGAAGTGATCGCGTTGTTGGCGAAAGAACGTAAAGGAGTTCTGGGTCACGAGGGAGGAAATAGTATATGACTTATACTGACGATTTGTCTCACTGCGAGTCCTTATGAGCAAAAATATATGTTTTCCGCCTGCTTGACAAACGACAGTGCGTATTTGTCAACGACGATAAGCGCGGTTTATACGTGCATCGCTCAACGCTGCTGATAGATCATAGACACGGGAAAATTTAATAGCTCGATAATTTTTCTAGCGGCGTAAATATTTTGAAATGCGAAATAAATAGAGAAAACTAAATTCATTAACAATCTCGTTTATTAATCACATGCTATATTAAATATTTTCAGAGCTATTCCTGTTTATGCTTACGTGTACAATGTACTGAATCGCATTAATTACATTAAAATACGCGGCCTGCGCTTTTATCAGTGAACTTCGATATTCAAGGACTGGCGTAATTGTTAACGCGGGGGAAAGAGATTCCACCAGAATGGCAATTTCTTTACGGTGTACGCCTTTATGGTGTACGTGCACGCCTAGAAAAAAAAGAGATCGCAGCAAGGCGCTTTTGTTTGAACTTGAAAGTACCATGCTACGCTACCCTTGTCCTTTTTTTTCATAGATTACATGCTTGGATACGGAGATCACTTCGACCGAGAGTACGTATATGTTACTATCGTCGTCAAAGGAGCGTCTTGACGCAGGAGATAAGTTGGTGATATATTTAACAGGAAACCGCCACAGTGCGTTACACGTTTTATGGCGGATAAACAGACATATTCACATAATCGCTCACAGTGTGCTCACAGCACGGTGCACCATTCTCTAATGTGGTTACGTAACATCACGCGTCGGGTTTATTGCATTAGGGTACCGTATTTCTAAGTTACGACCGCTAAATTCCGTTCGCGAGATACGTTTTACGTTACCAGACTATTAGTTACAAAGGGACATTATTCGAATGACGACCGTTGTCTTAGGCAAACAGACCAGGGGTGTCCCATTCATAAGTTCCGATGAGGAAGTCATCCGAATACATTGCATGCACATATCGATTGTTCGTGATGATTAATGGGACGTTTCTGAAGCATACTCCACTGTAACTACAATACTCGACGACCGAACGTAAATTGGGTTAATATGCGCTCAAAGATGAAGGATTATGGAAAACCATCTGACAACAACGTTCCTGTCAAGCAGTATTTACTCTTGAGTCTCTTTGATAATCGAGATCTATAACTGTCCGTTAATAAATTTAAAGTGTGTGCTACCAAATAGATTGACTCTCTTGCATACAATTAAATTATTAATGAATTGTTGAAGAGCTTTTCAAGTGATAATTCCGAATAGTTACAAACTTTTTAAGCGATAATTCCGAACGATTAAAAACTTTTTCCTCTACGTACAGTCAATGCAAAAGATAATCATATTTATAAAAAAGTTTTATTTGTAAAAAATAAATATTAATTTAAATAGCAATTTATTAATAAAAAGTATATTCCTAACATAAATTTCATAATAATAATCGTACTTAGAAGCTAAATTTTTCAACTATATAAATATTTTTTGTGTCCAAATAAAATTTTTCATTTTCGCTTATCATAGATAATACATTTTAATTATTACATCTTTTTAGATAAATTTTTAAGAATCTATTTTATTCTTTGTTAATATATTGTTAATTAATGTTTCTTTGAAAAAAAAAGCTTTTTTTTACCATCTCTCCTGTACGAATAGTTTTGCTCTTACTGTATTACATTGCAAAAAAAGGATATATCGATAAAAATAAATAAAATTCACTAATGCGTATTAAAAATAGAAAATGATTATATGTGTAGTGCATGTATATGCCACAATCAAAATGTTTGCACTTTACTAATCAATACATTATATATACTATAATTTCAAATTTGATAAGTAAATACATTCATAAGCAATAAAATTTAAACATTTGTTAGTAAATGTTTCCTGTTAGATTCGTTCGTTTTAGACAAAAATGAAATAAATATAATTTTATTGATTCTTTAGCTAATATGACTAAACTGAATAATTATATTATTGCATTTACACTGTTGGAAAATTTGTATTAAATTTAATGCATTTCACATGTTCCAAACGGTTTATTGAAATTTATATATTAATTTAACATAAGATGAATATGTTAGAAGGGAACACAAATATTATTTAAGTAGACAAACCATGGAAGCATATTTTTTTCAGTAAAATTAACATTTACGATATGTTAATATATAGATAGATAGATTTTATTTATTCATTTAAAAATGTACGTTTTAAAACACATTATTTTTATGTTATTTGTTAATTTACTCATAAATTGTTATTTTGATACCAAGAAACGTTAAATATAAATTTAACACAAACTATTTATTTAGGTAATATAATTACATTATATTAAATTAAATATGTTAAAGTTAAATTGAATATGTATATACATAAATTCTGCGAAGACATTTGAAAAGTCTGTTATATTTACTGATTACGATTGCCAGCAACAAACGAATATTCTGAGAGTAGAACTGTAACTTTCTGAAGAGACTTTAATTACCTTATTTCTTTCCAAAGCGTATGACTTGCTGGTTTCAATTAGCATTCTGAAATATGCTGCGTGTGCGAGCACTATGCGTTCGTCGTTTCAACATTCAAGATTGATCGCAAATAAACTCAACGTAATTTGCGAAGTTCTCAAAGATACCGTGAATTTCAGATACTTACACGTGCATATTGTACAAAATAATTATCTTTAATAAGCATGTTTATAATTAATTATTAGAAGCGCAGAAGGATATACCTAGAAATGATTAATGATAGGAAAATTTCTAATTATAACTTGTGCGCTGTGTTATTAACAAAGTGAAAACATAAATTAATGATAATAATAATAATATTATGCTCTTGAATATTATTATACATTATATTCCAATGAAATTGATCTTACATTTCTATTCCGTTATTGAATTAATTCTTCTATACTTTCTTTATAAATTACATTAAAGATTTTTTTACGATCTTACATGCTATATAGTTTATTATGTTATTGACAAAATAAAAACGTAAACTAATAATAATTGTAACAATAATATAGTATTAATTATAATATAGTAATAATAAATATAAATATAATAATAATATATTACGCGATCTTATACATTATAATTTGC